CATCGCAGGGTCAGTCCAGGGCATGGCACTGACCACCACCAGTGGCTGGGGCGAGTCTGAGCTGACAGCCAGCCACAGGTCTGGCTACTAGGTTGACATGGTGCCGTCACCGGGTGCCCACTAGACCTGGCCTCCCAAGTCTTTTAAGTGGCCAGTGAACAAGGCCGTCCTCCAGTGAGGACCTTCGTTCAATAAAGTATTCCCAACTCTCTGTGGGACAGATCACAATGGCCTCTTCAGAGGAACACGTGCGGATGAGGGAACTAATGAATACTGTTTATTTACCACGCAAACCACAACTGAGATCCAGCCCCCAAGGCAAACGGTGAGATCAGCATCCCATTCTAAGATGCAGGTGGCAGGGGCCAGCCGTGGGCACACGCACAGCCCAGAGGCTGTCACAGGGGCTGTGCCAGAGCTGCCTCTCCAAGATGGCTCAAGCCAGAATCTGCAGGCCAGAGTTAAGACATCTGGCTCCTAAATCCTCCTCCACCTTCCTGGGAAAGAAGCCTGGGCAGGCTCAGATGGCGGGGGGAGCAGCGAGGAGGGCATGACCAGGCGACGCGGAGGAGGGTCGAGATCAGCACTCTGTTTTGTGGGCTCTCATTTCCAACAGACTGAATAAAGACGTCAGCTCAGGCAGGACACAGCCGGCTAGACCTGCGCCCAAGCCGGCCTTACGCTGTCCTCGTGCTGGACTGTGTGGAGCTCCAGGAGGGCTCTAGCCCTGGTGATCCTGTTTAGAAAGAGGCCGGGAAGAGGCGGTCCAGGAGTCAGAAGCCCCACTGGCCTGAGCTGGTGCCCCTCCAGCCACCCATGCAGCCTAACTGGGTGTGCTGGAGACCCCTTGGTCAAGAGAAAGGACGGTGCACTCCCTCGGGAGGTCTGGGGAGCGCCCATCCCATAATCAGTCCCAGGATCCTGCAATGCCTAACCTCTGTAGTCCCCTGGTCACCTGGGCAGTTCAGGACTCCCTTGGCAGTGGCGACCCAAGCCATGTGGGCTGGAGCCAGGACCCCAGGCCACGCAGACGAGGCTTCTTCCCCAACTTGGGATGCGGAACGAGTGTGAGGGCTCCTAGGAGGCAGAGGCAGCCATGCTACAAGAGGAATGCTTTCTACTTCAGGCCACCGCTGCCGTGCGTGGTCCCCAGGCTCACGGGAGACTGCTCGCGGCTGCAACCACGCTCTGCTTTCTCAGAGCTTACGCGTGGAACAATGCCTATCAAGAGTATGCTGAGGCCTACTGGAATCCCACGGGTGTGCTGTGTAGACAACACTTATTTCTTGAGCCCTGGAGGCTGGAAGTCCAAGATCAAGGTGTGCAGACTCAGTGAGGGCCACTTCCTGGTTTGGAGGTAGCGGCTGCTCAGTGGCCCACATGGCAGAAGGGGCAAGGCAGCTTGCAGGGCCGCGTTGCTAAGGGTGCTGGCCCATTCGAGAGGGCTCCAGCCCTGTGACCTCATAGCCTCCCAGAGCTCCCTACCTCCTAATCCACACCTTAGGGCTGGGATTCCAACACACGGATTTGGGGACAGACGTTTGGACCAGCCAGTGCCCATGTGGGG